CAGCATGACTTTAGGCTGCCCACTCTGCAGAGAAGGAAAGCAGGGCTCCTGTGGGGTAAATGTTGGGTTCAGAATAACAAGTACAAGGGGAGCAGGCCAGAGGGTCACACCCAGATGGACATGGCACCGAATGCCCACACCTGGGACCCGCTGGCTCTTGGTGACAGGGCAGGAATGAGCTTTGGGACAAGGCATGAGGACAGTACAGAGCTGGTCACTGCCCAGCAGAGCTACCTTGAGTGCCCAGGCCATGACTGCCCTCTTTACCCATGCCTACGTGGCAGCAGGAGCTCAGGGCCACCTGTGACCTGGCACAATCTGAACCTGCTCCACTTTGCTGAGTTCCTTAGCAGGAATAACTCCCATGTGGCCTGATTCCCCTCAGCCTGGGCCTCAGTAGGGATAGTTTAAGCCACAGCGGCTTGGTCACAAAGCATGTAAGCCCCCAGCTTGTGAGTGCAAGGCTTCTGCTAGGAGTCTTGCAGGGCAGGGAATACAGCGTCCCAGAATCCCTGAGTGGAACCTGGCTTGGCAGAGAGGCACCTGCACCCTTTGGAATGTGAATGTCTCCTCCCCGCAAGCAGCCCCAACCGCCATGCCTTCTCCTGGGGACACAGCAGCGCGCTGCCCACTGGGGGTCTCTCTGCACTCCACATCACGTGTGAGCAAACTGCAGGAGGTGGAGCTAAGGCGTGTTATCTGGCCATCAGCGAGTGCAGGACAGCCTGCAGCACCACCCAGAGGCTCTCAGGCTCTCCTGCCTTGAGGGCTGCCTGGGTTGGATGGCAGGTGGTGGAAGAGATTAGACTAGGCCCCCACATGATTGTACCCTGGGAGCTTCGTAAGGACCGGGAGCTGGGGACACAGGGAAACCCACAGATGCTCCTGACGTTGTGTGACTCATCTGGGACCCTCATTGGCACCTGGCTCATTCTGTTTTGGACTTTGGTGCTCCAGAACTGTGAGTCAGAGTCAATTTCTTCTTCATAATGTAACTCACCTCAAGTATTTCATTAGAGCAACAACAACAACAAATGCCGGGCTGGTGTGGCACAGTGAGTCCAACTGCTGCATGCAATATTAGCATCCCATACAGGAGTGCTGGTTCGAGTCCCAGCTACCCCACTTCCAAGAAGATGCCCCTGGTGTTGGGCCCCTGAACCCACATGACAGATCAGGATCCAGCTCCTGTCTCCTGACTTTGGCCTGGCCCAGTCCTGGCTATTGCAGTCATTTGGGGAGGGAATTGGCAGATGGAAGATCTCTGTCTCCCTCCCCTTCCCTCTCTCTGTCACCTTGCCTTTCAAATAAAATAAAGAAATGAAGGAACCTTTGCTAGGAGCTGAGTGCAGGAGGCTGAGCGTGCTGCTGCCTCTCCCGTCCCGTCAGTTGCTTGTTATCTCCATGGCTGTTCTCATTCTGCGGCCTCCATCCAAATGCTCTGCGAAGCTGTTGCAAACGTCCCACCTTGCCACTCTTGAGAATCCATGTCACACGTCCTCCTCTTTCCACTGGGAATAATGAGAAACATTCAGAAAATTTGCTTATCCAGAAAGAAGCACATTTCTTTCAGACAGAAAGGACAGTTCCTGAAAAAAACGCAAATCACCCAAGACCATTATTTCTTCTTAACAAAAAAAAAAGGAAAAAAAAAACTTTCCTGAACCTGTAATTACACAATGACACTTACCCCTCATATCTCCATGTGTGAAGTGTAGCAAAAGTCAATTCTTAAAAAAGAAAGTCTCTCCAACGTAGAGTTTTGCTTTGATCAATATGTGTTTTGAGACGGATACAGGTTTCTTTAAAAAGAAGAAAATAAAAGAAAAAAAAAAAGGAGGCTTTATTTTCTAATGTAAAGTAATTCCAAGAGCAGGACCACCCCGGGTTCCTGCTTCCTGGGCTGAGGGCGCCTCCCTTCCTTGGTGCACTTGAGCACTCTCCTTCCTCCAGCTGCAGCGAGCCCCAAAGCCCCAAAGCCCACAATGCCACCACTCCCTTCAGTGCAGGACAGGTGCTTGACTGCACACAGATGTGTGCCTGCACACATTCCTTACCATCTCAGGGGACTTGCGGGGTGTCTGCCCAGGGAAGATCCAGACCCCCAGCCCGGATCCCCTTCAGCTAGACCCCAGACCCGGCTCTGCAAGATGCATAACTGATGTGTAATTGATGCTATGTCTTCCCTCACAGCACTCAGATCCTTATCTGACTAGACCCTGGTGCATGACACAGACAAGAGACACCACTTGTTTGGTGCCACACCAAGAAAGCAGTGATGGGGGGTGGGGTGGGCAACAGAGCCTTGAACTTTCTCAGTGGGTGGCAGGGATAGCCCAGAGCTGCAGTGGCGTTGCACCTGGTGAAGGACCAGGTGGGAGCTTGCCAGGCAGGTGAGAGAAGGCAAGGTCTTCAGGGCAGGGGCAGCACCGTGAGCCAGGGCTCTGAGGTATCAGGCAACGGAGTGGAATGAAGCCCGAGGCGGGGAACTGAGACTACAGCAGTGGCCACACACACGACCACAAGCGGGAGCTTTGCTCTGGCAGGCAGCTTGTCTGCTCAGCAAGGGGTGGCCTCTCCTCCTGAGACCCCTAAGACAGACTGCACCATGCTGGCCAGGAGTCCTTCCAGTCAGTCCCCTTGCTGCATTAGCCCCATGCACCTGCTCATTTGGACTGGGGCTGGAAAGTACCCAAGACCTCCCCTGCCCCAGAACGCTGAGCAGCATGGGACAGTGGGCCTTTAGGCTGGTCCCTGATGGCCTTGACATGCCGCAATGGGTGGTCTGAGTTGGTGAGCATGCTTGTAGGAGCATGACAGGAGGAGGGCACATGGGTGTTGGCAGCGGCAGGGGCCTAGGTGAGTTATCTGGTGTAGTGGGGAAACTGAGGCAACTGCCCTTTCTCAGCATTGCTGAAAGCAGTGAGGGCAAAAGTGTGGCTAACACACAGGGAAAGGTGGCCGGGGTTGATGGTGGGGCGACCACCAGGGGAGGGGCAGAAGGTTCTGTCAGAGTCCCAGGGAGCTGAGGACTGAGGAAGCTGGAAGCGGGCACCAGGGGGCAGTATTCCCATTCCCAGCTCCTTTCCAGAATGCTCAGGTCTGAGATGTGGCTTCCAGGCATTTAACCCAGAGGCTAGAGCCCCAGGCTCAGGGCAGCAGATCAGACCTCAGGCCCTGGCTTGGAGGAGCATAGGCCATTTGAGGTTGGCTGCACTGCAGAAAACAAGACAAGAGCCCACCAGTACTAGCTCCCACTGGGACAGGTGCCAGGAACATGCTGTGAGCTGCAGGAGAGTCTGCCCTAAGCTAGAGGAGAGATCAGACCGGCTCCCCTAGCCTTGGCCTGGTGGCTTCAGATCTCCCGGACTCCGAGGCAGGTCTTCAGGACTGTGGGTCAGAATTCAACCTTGTGTGGCTTTAAATTTCATCTCTGCGCCCTCTCACCGATCCCTGATCTCTGCCATGAGCTTCTCACAGCAGTCATTGCCACGAACAGCAGGCACTCTCCAGGGTGCTGTGGTGTGGACGGATTAGGAGTGTTCAGTGCAGCTTGAATTTGGGTGTTTTTAACTTAGAATCACTCTGTCCTAAACCAAGGAGTGTCTGGAGCCACACAGTCCTACAACCAACAGTTGGTCTGTGGTCCCTTACCACCAGCCCACTTTCTTCTCCCACGGTCTTTGAGCCTAAGCTGCCCACTGGCCTAACAAAGCCAGTTCTGGCCTCGCCAAGGGATGACCAAAGGAATTCTGAAAGTGAAAAATGCTGTTGCTGCAGACGCCAAGGCGTCCTGGAGACCAGGACTGGAATGGCCACTGGGCATGGCCTCTGGCAGGCCCCCTTCCTGCTTGTTCTGTGCTTCAGGGATTCCTACTGCTCTCCCTGCACGGAACCCTAGAACTCAGTGGGGTTCCCTGTGATTCAGGGCCCAGGAGGCAGTACAGGGGCAGGCTGCAGAAAAGCTCCATGGGAGTGGGGAGGCCAAGGGCTGAGACCATGCAATGTGGGTACCGCAGGCCTCCATGCATGGTCCCCAGGGTTCCCCAGGAATCTGCCAGGTACTACTGGGTGCCTCCTTTGTAGTGGGAAGTCTCTCTGGGACTGAATGGGTCTTGTCTTCTCTTTGGCTGCCTCCTCTCACTTGCTTATGAAACAACATGCCTAGAACTTGACATTGACCAGTCCCATTGCTATTGGTCCTTCCCCATCAGAACTGCCTTGTGACGAACACTGTCTGCTTTCAGTGGCACAGGCTGAGCTTCTTTGTAAATTGGGGTGGGGAGATGGAAGTGGATCTGGGGGATCCCCCTGTGATGGGCATCTAGGCCTGCTTCTGGGATGTCCGTGGGTAGCATGCTGCATGAAATGAGCTTGAAGGCACCAGCAGTGGGACATGTTGGACACACCTGTTCTCCCTTCACAGTCAGCAACACACTAGAGCAGCCTCCGGGCTGAGTCCCACCAGCCCCACTTTCAGGGGCAGCTGGGAGAGCTCCAGCCACCCTTCTCGGGCGCTCTCTGGTAAGAGGGCATGAGCAGATACCGCGGCTTAGCAGGTGCCTGAGCAGTGGCACCAGAAGGGCTCTGTGCACCTGCTGCAGACAAGCTGCACAGTGGATGCCACGTTGGGGGGATGCCCCAGAAGCTGTAATTAGGATGGGGGGGGGGTCACGCTAAAGCCCCTGAGACTAACTATGGTGCCTTGGGCGGGGGTGGGGGGGTGGGGGAGGGGCCAAAGTGCAGCCATCATGCAACCCTGAGTGGCCTGCATGCCCTGAACCCATCTTTCACAGCTCCTCCCACATCACTCCCACATGGGGGCCTCAGAGGAGCCACTGGTTCATGTATAGAAATCGTGGACTTGGAGCCTGGTGCTCATCTGACCAGCTTCTCCCCAGCCGGGGATACCTGCACGGAGGGCTGAAGCAGTCCTCCCCTGGACCAGGGCAAAGACTCCTTCTTTCAGCGGTGTCTCCTCCCCCTGCGCACCCATGCAGGAGAGTGCTTGGCCGTACCTGTTTGGTGTGATCATGGTCCCGGCCGTCGTCCAGCTAGTGAGCCTTCCGTTTCTCCCTGAGAGCCCACGCTACCTGCTCTTTGAGAAGCATGATGAGGCGGGAGCCGTGAAAGGTAGGGGCCCTTTACCCCTCATCACGTACCCCAGCCCCAGATGGATCAGCACTGCAGGTGCCCAGCCTCAGGGCTGATGGGCACGGGGTGGGTAGCATTGTTGATGTACTCTGCAGACACTGGCTGGGCACCCCAACCTCTTCCTTCATCTGCCCATCAGCCCTGCATTGGGGGAGGGGGTAGCCAGCAGGGCACAGGACCACTCAGGGAGTCCAGAGACAGTGAGGCTCCTGGAGGGGCTTCAGTCAGAGTCCAGGCGTAGCTTTCAGAATCAGGCATTTTCCCCAGAGCCCACCTGGAGCCACACACAATGGGCCGAGTATCAGGCCCTGCTCCCATTCTTGCTGTTTTGTAAACCCAGCAGCCGGCTCCCAGGTAAGCACAAGGGGTTGCTGTTACTGTTACCACCGTCACCAACCACACCTGCCATCTACCCTGAGCCGATTCAACCAGCCCACGCCTGGGAAGCTGGTCCAAACAGAGAAAATCCAGGAGTCTCCCTGGACTGTTAACAAGGGGCAATGGGGATGATGTGTGATGCTCTCAGTTCTCATTGTCCCTTGGGGACTGTGGGCAGACTCTCATTCAAATCCTGCCCTCGAATCTGAATTGTATTGATGCCCACGTCCAGGTTGTGGGAATTATATATTTATTATATATATATAAATGTGTAATGCAGTTATCTTTGAAAATGGAAGCCATGTAAGCGTTTTCCTGATTACAAACCGCGAAGAACTATAACTCACTCACTGCCTGGGCTTGTCTAGCCGTTCATAGCTTAGATGGGTTCTCGTTTGTGGCATTTCTCTGATGGCAAGCCAGAGGGCACTGACTTCAGTGAGTGGGCTCTGGTTAAGATGGACAGACAGCCTCACTACCTGCACCTGTGCATTGGGAGCGACTTCCTGCCAAGCCAGCACCTGTGTTAGCTGAAAAGCCCACCATGTTTGTTGTCGTCTCAAGAAAAGGACCGACCGTGGCGTCCCTTGGCCAGGGACACAGCCAGCACGTGGTAGCATGGGAACCTGAGCTCTGAAAACTGCAGGTCTGACCAGAGCACGCCTTCTCAGCTAGTGCACCTGCCCAGCCTGGGGGCAAATAGAGAAAGGAGGTGCTGGCACAGTCAGCTGCTGTCATAGCAACGTTGGGTGACCGTACACCCAGGTCACAGCCTCTGGGTCTGCAGGCCAGCTGACCTCTGTAAGCTTCAAATCTGCTGAAATCCTTGCTGGTGATGGAAAGTGACATGACGAACCCTGGAGTCAGAGCGGGAGGGCTCATGGGGTGGGGGACATAGATGCCAGGAGGCCTTAAGCTGAGGGCTTCGCGGCAATCTGTCTATACGACAGGCCAGGTACTCCCTTCCCTAACACACAGTGGCCAAGGCACACGCAGGCAGGACAGCAGGCATCCCATGACATTCTCATCCTTGGGAGCTCATCAGCTGGGAGACTGAGAGCCGTGGCATGGGTACCACCCCCGCTGAGCCTGACGCTAGACAAGTGGTCCCTGCTGAGAGCCCTGTTTGTTTCTGCTTGCAGCTTTCCAGACGCTCCTGGGCAGAGCTGACGTCTCGCGGGAGGTGGAGGAGGTCCTGGCAGAGAGCCGCGTGCACAGGAACGTGCGCCTGGCATCCGTCCTGGAGCTGCTCAGAGAGCCCTCTGCCCGCTGGCAGGTGATCACCGTGGTCATCACCATGGCCTGTTACCAGCTCTGCGGCCTCAATGCGGTGAGCCTGGGGCCCTGCACACCTCAATGCGGTGAGCCCGGGCCCTGCACACCTCAATGCGGTGAGCCCGGGCCCTGCACACCTCAATGCAGTGAGCCCGGGCCCTGGACAACTCAATGCGGTGAGCCCGGGTCCTGCACACCTCAATGCGGTGAGCCCGGATCCTGCACACCTCAATGCAGTGAGCCCGGGTCCTGCACACCTCAATGCGGTGAGCCCGGGCCCTGGACAACTCAATGCGGTGAGCCCGGGCCCTGCACACCTCAATGCAGTGAGCCCGGGCCCTGGACAACTCAATGCGGTGAGCCCGGGCCCTGGACAACTCAATGCGGTGAGCCCGGGCCCTGCACACCTCAATGCGGTGAGCCCGGATCCTGCACACCTCAATGCGGTGAGCCCGGATCCTGCACACCTCAATGCGGTGAGCCCGGGCCCTGCACACCACAATGCAGTGAGCCCGGGCCCTGCACACCTCAATGCGGTGAGCCCGGGTCCTGCACACCTCAATGCGGTGAGCCCGGATCCTGCACACCTCAATGCAGTGAGCCCGGATCCTGCACACCTCAATGCAGTGAGCCCGGGTCCTGCACACCTCAATGCAGTGAGCCCGGGCCCTGCACACCTCAATGCAGTGAGCCCGGATCCTGCACACCTCAATGCGGTGAGCCCGGATCCTGCACACCTCAGGCTGTATCCTCAGGCTGCCCCTGCGGGTCACGCGGATTGTGTTCCCAGGCAGCCACAAGGACAATTTTGACATTTAACCTTACTGGTGCTGGCTAGTGGCAGATCTCCCAAGCCTCAATCTTAGCTCTTTCCTGTACCTTCCAACTACACATGGAAACTCGGGGTGTCCAAGCCAACCTCAGAGCTCCCCAAGCCCTGGGCTGGGAAGTTCATTGTCATGAAGGCCATGCCGCCACTGTAAGCTGCTTGGCAGCATCTGCGGGCATGGCTCGCGAGGGGGGGGAACCCCGCTGGCAATGACAAATGATAATGTCTGCAGATACAGCCAGATGTCCCCTGGGGGTGACATGGACATGTTGCTCAGAGGCCTTGATGCTGGAGCGTGCGTGAATGGCCCTTCTTGTCCTGAATATTTGGAAAAGAAAGGCAGTAGGGAGTGAGAACAAAGGTGTGGGTTGTACATTGGACCAATCCTGGTTGTCAAGCCCAGGCCTGGGAGCCTTAGCTTTCTAAAACGTTCCTGAAGTTCTGGAAGGAAGGCAAAGTTACAGCCTGGTGGTGTAATTACTGTGGTGGCCCATTCTTCCTTATTTTACACGCAGGGCCTCTTCATGCCGATTTCCTTGGGCCTCAGTGGCTCCTTCTGAAACAGGCTGACAGTACTCACTTGCCTGGCCGCTGGAAGGAATGGATGCAGAGCGTCTCTCCGGGGCAAGTCTCGGCCCCCACATGAGCACTAGGGCTCCTGCTAGCTTTGTTTCCTTCCCACTCAAGGCCACACCATTTCAAGCTCTGTGGCTTGTGATACATGGCTGGTAGTCGGGAGGTGAGGTGCGAGTTCCCAAGATGTGAAATCAGAGCCAGGAGCCTCCCCCGAAGTCTGGGTGTGAGGGTGCAGCTCTGCTGCTGCCTGGGTCTGTGCCCTGGTGGGATGTGCAGGTGTCACGACACTCCTGGTACCTGATCCCTCACCTGTTCACCTGGATGTCTTCCAGGACAGCCCAGGCCCGTGCTGCTCCCCCTGTAATCCAGTACCTGACACAATGCCGGGTAATTCCACCCTCGCTCAGTGACCGAGTGAGAAGGCAGGACACAAGTAACCTGAGATGTTACAGCAGAGTGTGCAGCTCAGTGCTTTCTGGGCTGGGGTCCGCCTGCCATCTCTGAATCCTCCCTCCAGAGCCCTGGTGAGCCTTGGTGCAAGACCTCTGATTATAGCTCAGAGGCTGTGGCCAACGGCTTTTGTTTTGTAGAGACTGATGTGCAATGATACTCCCATGTCAAGTTTCTCAAGATCTATTTCTTTACTTCTTGGAAAGGCACACACACACACACTCTTCCATTGCTTGTTCATCCTCTGCATGCTCCTTCTGTTCTCTTTGCTCGGCTGCAGATCTGGTTCTACACCAACAGCATCTTCGGGGCAGCCGGGATCCCTCCGGAGAAGATCCCCTACATCACCCTGAGCACAGGGGCTGTGGAGACCCTGGCCGCCATCTTCTCTGTAAGTCCGCGGACGGTAACTCCTGGGAACCCTGAGCTGGGGGGTGAGGCAGCACCGGGGTGGGCTCCAGCACTCAGGAGCATTGTCCTGCAGAGGGGTCTTGACACAGCACCTCGCAGCTGAACGTGGGCATTTGGACATTTGCTGTCCTTGCCGTGTGGCTGGGGCCTTCCTTGTCATGGAGAGCACCCTTCTTGGCCCGAGCACAGGCAGGACCCACGCCGTCTCCAGGGAGTTCAGAGCTGAGTCTCTGTGACTCTCAGATCTCCCACCCTTGACTTTGAAATGCTGCAGAGCTGCGAGCTGTGCACTCTTCACTCCTGCAGCCACGCATGCATTTAAGGGACAGGGACAAGGAGAGGGACATTCCAGTTCCCTCACGCGGGACTCACTCACTGCCCTTCTCAGTCATCAGCATGGGAGGAAAAGCAGGAAGACTCCAGATCCTGTCAGAAACATCTCAAATTTTGGAGTGACCCAGCTGGCTTAGAGTTCCAGCTCAGGAATAGCCTGGCTGGGTGAGATTAAGCAATGGATTCAACCTCGCTGAGCTCTAGGGTATCCACATCTCCCCTACCCTGCAGCTTTGTGGTCTGTGCTTCATGCTTCAGGCTCACAGAGACGGGGGTGGGGTGGGCTCCTGTCAGCACGGGCTCTGACCTTGATGGAGCAGCTTCCTCCTGTGCGTTCTTGTCTTGGACTTGGGCTGGCGAGGTGGATGCCCATACATGTGGGCAGAGGCTTCCAAACACATGTCTGACTCACTCTCTCCGGGTGCTCCTGGACCATAATGGGTTGTCCAAGCAAGATACTTTTTAAAAATAGACATGCAACACAGGGGCATGGCCTCTGCTCTCCCTCTTCTGCGTGCTGCCCTTTATGTAAAGGGAGAGTTTTTCCTGTTCCACAATCTGCAACTTTCACAAAACCTTTGTCTCAAGTTATAAACCACGCCCAGCTCTTATTATATTTCTCTTTGATCAGTATGCAAACCACAAACATTTGGGGATGAAACACCGCAGGGAAGGGCAGCGGTTTGTTTTCTGTAAAGATTCTCATTTGGAAAAAAACTGTCAGTCCAGCTCATATGCTCACTTGGGTCAACTTGCAGAACCCAGAGAAAGAGAGAGATACCCAGGGAAGGAACCCACAGCCACACTTCCCGGGGATGGGGCAGGTTGCACGTTGCCCCCGCTGTGCTGTGGGCCTGGATGTGTGTGAGTGTGTGTGTGTGTGTGTGTGTGTGTGTGTATCACTCTGTAGTAGTCCTGTTTCATACCCAACTCCCATTCTGCTTTTGCTCACACAGTCTTGTATCAGATGGGTGTTCCATTTTAGCATTTGTTGTTAAAATAATAAGGAGAGAGAGACCACATCTAGCCTCTGGCTTATGACTCCAAACGCCAGGAAACTGAGGACTCAATCTACTTCTCCCATGTGGATGTCAGGGACGCCCAATCCTTGAGCTCATGCCTGCTGCCTCCCAAGGTTACAGGACACTGGAAATGGGCGACGAGAGGAGCCGGGACCGGAATCCGAGTGCCCCCATTTAGGGTGTGCATGCCCTAGTCAGAGTCTAACACCACCACAAACACTTGTACCCGAGCAAAACGTCTAATGACTTGTACCTCCCAGGACTCGTTGGGGAAAGCAATTGCATGCTAAGTCTATTTTCACACACGGGAGCTTTGGAAATCCAGGTAGTGTCTTTGTAGAACTCATTTTCCACGCATATTCTAGAGGTCCTTGGCGTGAGGCTGCGTGCAGCTCACCATCCTTAAGGATAAGCACAAGTGCTGAGAGCTGGGTACTGTCCAAAAACTAGGGACCCAGAGATTTCCTTAGCTGCCATGGGGGGCAGGAGGGAAGTCTGGGGATCTCTCTGCTCAGATCCTGGGTGAGAGAGCTGAAGGCCTGAATCCTGACCATGTTCCTGTTGAGCTGCAGGACACCAAGTGTTGTCCTTCAACAGCTCTATGACTCAGTTTCCCCACTTCTTTCACAAAAAGATTTATTTATTTAAAAGACAGACTCAGAGACATGGGAAGAGAGAGAGCACTTTCATCTGCCATCTGCTGGTTTACTCCACAGATGGCGACAGCAGCCAAGGCTGGGGAGGTTGGAAACCATAAACCAAGAGATTCATCTGTTTTTCCTATGTAAGTGTAGGGACACGAGCGTTTAGGACATCCTCTGCTGTGTTCCCAAGGACTGGGAACTGGATCGGAAGCAAAGCCACCAGAGTGCAAACTGGAACTCAGGGATGTCAGCATCGCAAGCAGTGGCTTAATGTGCTGTGCCACAATGCTGGCCATTATTTCCTGTCTCATAGGACAGGGCTGATCTGAAACCAATCAGTGGACATTGGGCTGGTCAGGCGGAGCCTGGAGGAGGCCGTATCCTCAGGGAATGTCACCTCCTCTCGTCCTGCTCAGGCAGCTCCCCCAGGCTGGCCAGGTAGAGCTGCTTGTCCCAGCTTGGCTCCCCCCAGCTGCAGAAGCCACCACTCGTGGCCCCCACTCTCTGTCAAGCCCATCTCTCCACTCAAAGCCAGCAATGCTTGGTGAGGGGTTTTCAGAAAGTGCTGGAGCCAAAAATGTCATGGCCTTCCAGAAGGAGGAAGAAGGGATCTCACCAAAAGATGGAAGCACCCAGAGAGGACCACAGCAGAGCTCTGTCACATGGCCCCCAGTAGGGCAGCACCTGCTGGCTTCCAAAGAGCTGCCACCTGCTCCTGATGCCACCTGTTGAACCTGCGCTGGGTTCTCAGAAGACTGTTGTCGTGGTGCCTGGCTGCAGGAGCACAGTCTGATGGAGGACTGCTGGAGTCCGTGTGATGGGGGTGGAAGACAGGAAGGTGTGAAGAGCATGGCTCCATTGCAGGCAAGGTTGCAAGGAACTCCCCGCTGTGTGGCAAGGCCTGGCGGATGTCTCTACAACACCTGAATGCGGCTCTGCCTCCCTTTGCATGGACACCAGACAACCCCACTGAGAATTCTGTAATCTATTCAGGCATTGTCTGCCTCTGCGGAGTTACTGTTAAACGTCAGTAGGAACTTAGAAGCTAATGTTGCTAGTGGCTAGTTTTCAGCCAAAGAGCTATTATCGCTGTTAGGGCTGCGTCCTGTGGCAATATGTTAATCAAGAGTGTTAACTCCCCCTTTTGATCCTATGCTAATCTTTTAGGTCCCTTCCTTCCTTGACTGTCTCAAGACCTAGCTGTAAAGTAATTGTGGTAGGAATGTGCTACTGACTGATATGCATCATCTATTGAAAACCTTTTCCTAGCCAGGCACCAGTTGGTTAACATTCTAGCCTTAGGTGAAACAAATGGCAGAGTTATCTTTGGAAACACCCACTTGACCATGACGTAAAAAGTCTGAGCCAGAGTTTGACTGATTTTGTATAAATAAAGCGGACAGCTTTTGTGCGTGGTCCATTATGATGATGAAGAGTTACTAGTGGTCCGTCTCTTTCTTTCTCTCTCTTTCTTTGCGCCTCATCCATGCACCCTTCGCGAGTTCCGAACTCAGCTGGAGCTGGACTCCGGCAAGTGGCGCCTGAACAGGGACTCGACGAAGGTAGGTCTTTTCTTTCTCTTTGCGGCGTGGATAGGACTTCACCCAGGGTGCTGCAGGCCCCCTGACAGAAGGTCAGGTTAGGAGGGGTGAATAGTCAGAACTTATATTGAGAAGTTGTGTACCCTCTGTGCTGTAAAAATGGGCCAGAGCGATTCTAGTGAAAGAAGTTTATATGCTGATATTATTAAACATACCTTACATAGGAAGTGCATTAAAGTTAGCAAGAAGCAATTATTAGAATTTTTACAATTTGTACAAAAAGTTAGCCCATGGTTTATTGAGCAGGGCACTTTAGAATTAAACACGTGGGACCAGGTAGGAAATGATATGAGAAGGTGGTATCGGAGTAATGGACGAGTGGGCATGCCATCCTCTGCATATGCCATTTGGAACGTTTTACGGCAGGCACTAGATGCGGGTCCTGAGCCTTATCCCGCGCCTTCAGCTCAGCAGGGAGAACATACTCGCCTTCTTGATCCTCAGAAGGGAAGCTTAGGCCTTAGCTATAGCTCAATGGAAAGTGTCTGTCCTGAAGATAATGTAAAATATTGTAAAACTGATCATGGAAGTTTAACAGATGAGGAAGAAGATTTTTTAAAACCAGAAATATTTAGATCAGGAGTTAGAGATTGTGAAAAGGGGCAAATGGCTGAGTTACATGATAATAGGTCTCCTGCTGTTGATGATAAGCCTTCAAGGTATTCTGCTAAGCCTTGTGAGCCCCTTCCACCTAGACCAGATCCAGCAAAGATTGGCTTTAGTGGGGCAATGCAGCAGGCACATAAGGAAGGTGATTTTTTCTGTTTTCCTGTTGTCTATGAATGCGATGAACCTGAATGGGAGCCGTTGCCTTATAAGCTTATTAAAGAACTAAAGCATGCTGTCTCTGACTACGGGCCAAACTCCCCGTACACTATGGCAATAGTGAGAGAGCCTAGCAGCAAAGTGGATGACTCCTTATGATTGGTTTCAGGTTGCTAAGGCTTGCCTCACTGGCGGAAACTTCCTTTTGTGGAAAATGGAATATGAGGAATTAGCTAAAGCAGAAGTAAAGTCTCAGAGATCTGTGAGGCATGGCAAATTTTCTTTTACCTTAGACATGCTTTTAGGACAGGGCACTCATCTTGGCGTTTCAGAACAACTTACTCTGCCTAAGGAGACATTACAGCTTATCTCCTCCCTGGCAATAGGAGCGTGGAAGCGCCTGCCATCTCCAGATCAAAAGTCTCCAGGTTTTGTAAATGTTAAGCAGAAGCCTGAGGAGCCTTTTGAAGATTTCGTAGCTCGACTCACAGAAGCAGTGAGTAGGACAGTAATTAACAATACAGCTACAGATCTCATAGTTAAACAGCTAGCTTTTGAGAATGCTACTCCAACTTGCCAAACCTTAATTCAGCCAGTGAGAAGGACAGGAGATTT